CATAAGCTTTTGAGTTTTAAATTTTTCTCCCCCTCCCACCCCCCTCTATTCCCAAGACGGCATGCAATCTGATATAGGCTATATATATATACATTCCTATTAAACATATTTTCACATTATCAACAAGTGTTCATTAAGCATCTTCTATGTGCCAGGCACTGAGCTAAGAGCTGGGGATTTTACAAAGAAATGCAAAAACAGTTTCGGCTCTCAAGGCACTCAACAGTTTAATAAGAGAGACAACATGCAAACAACTATGTACAACAAGATATAGACAGGATAAATGAAAAGATAATGAACAGAGTGGGAAGCATTAGCATTAAGTGGCATTAGAAAAGACTTCTTGTGGAAGGTAGGACTTGAAGGTATCCAGGGAAACCAAGAGACAGAGGCGAAGAGGGAGAACATTTCAGGCATGAAGGACAATGTGAAAATGCCTGTAGTTGGAAGATGGAGTATCTTGTGTGAGGAGTGGCAAGGATGCCAGTATCACTGGTTTAAGGACTTCCTGGTGGGGAGTAAGGTTTACAAAGACTGTAAAGGTCAGGGTAGGGGGCCAGACAATGAAGAGCTCTGAATGCCAAACAAAGGATTTTATATTTCATCCTGGGGGTGAAAGGGAGCCACTGGAATTCATTGAGGCAGGGTATGTGTGTGTATGTATAATCAGATTTGTGTTTTAGGAAGATTAATTTGCCAGCTGAGTAGAAGATGGACTGGTATGGGGAAAGAGTTGAGGAAAGGTGACCAACAAGCAGGCTGTTGCAATAGTCCAGGTGTGAAGTGATGAAGGCCAGCACCAGGTTGGTGGCAACGTCAGAGGAGAGAAGGGAGCTTACGCAAAAGAATACACAGTCACTGGCCACAGACTGCATATGGGGGATGGGTGGGGGGTGAGAAGGGGGTGTGTGTTTGAAACTGAAGAAATTCTGGTGACAACTGTGAGCCTGGATGACGAGGACAATGGTGCCATCCTGGATAGTAATATAGAAATCTGGAAGTGGGGTGAGTTTTGGGGAAAAGATAATGGTTTTACTTTTAGACATGCTGAATATAAGATGTCTCTAGAAGATTCAGTTTGAGATGTCCAAGAAACAATTAGAGATTCAAGTCTAGAGGTTGGAAAGAGGTTAGGGATGGATAAGCAGATTTGAGAATTATCAGCAGAGAGACGATCATTGAATCCATGGGATTCTGGAAGAGTTGATGGGACTACCAAGAGAAATTATAGCACATAAAGAGAAGAAAGCTCAGTACAGAATTTTGGGGGACCTCCTATTGGGTAAGACCTGGATAAAGGTCCAGCAAAGGAGACAGAAGGTGGGGTCAGACAGGTAGGAAGAAAACCAGGCAACAGTAGTTACATGAAAACCTAGAGAGAAGAGGGTGATTAAGGAAAAGAGAGTGATAAAGAATATCAAAGGAGAGAAGTCAAGGATGATGATTGAGAAAAGACAGATTTGTCAATTAAGAGATCATTAGGAACTTTAGAGAGAACAGTTTCAGATTGGAAATCAGACTGAAGAGAGTTAAAAAGAGAGGGACAGGAAAAGAAGGCACTCATTATAGAGAGCTTTCTCAAAGCAGCTCACTGAAGAAAGAAAGAGAAATAAAGGAAGATAGCTATCAAGAATGGATGGGTCATATGAGGGTTTTCTAGAGAATATGGGAGACACAGGTGTGTTGGTAGGCAGTAGGGAAATAGCCTGTAGAGATTGAGTGATTAAATTGAATCTCACCTTTGTTAATCTTTTTTTGAACTTTGTTTTCATTTTTTTAAATGGATATGTTTATTTGGGAATTCTCCTAAAAAAAAAACCAACCCAATAATTTTCACCAGTGCTTCATGACCCACCAAGAGAGGACAGCCAAGGGGCAGCTAGATGGCACAGTGGACAGAATACCAGCCCTGAATTCAGGAAGACCTGAGTTCAAATCTGGCCTCCGAAACTTGACACTTAATAGCTGTGTGACCCTGGACAAATCACTTCACCCCATTGCCTCGGGGGGGGGGGGAGACAGACAGACAGAGACAGAGAGAAAACAGGTAGCAGTTTCCTCCTTCCTGCAAGTTCCTTCTAGGAAACTGGTCAAAGGCAAGTTGAAATATGCAAACTTCACCCTTTCCCCTAACTCCCATCCCCTACGTTCAGGTCTTGGATCATGATATTAAGTTAATTTATTATTTTAACCTTATTTGAGGTGGGGGAAGAGGGAACACAGTTCAAATTCCACCTCCTGCTCTGGACATATAGCCCACGTTTATTTTACCTTTACTTTTTATTTTTTATTCAGCCTGGTTCTGACAACACTAAATACTCTGCCAAAGAGAACATTTGACACACAGAGACCCTATTCTGAAGTTCATGAAAATGAAGGTAATTCTTTTCTTTTGATGAGAACAGAACTTTATTGTTTTTGGGCGTAAGGCAAATTGTAAAACTTACAGAATAGTAGACAGGTACAATATGATCTTGAAAACAATTTATAAAAATAAGAACAGAACAAATAGTACATTTTCATTCATAATAATATGTATTATTTTAGTCATGAGATAAATAGATCATCTTATTGATTTGAGCTCTTTCTTTTTGTCTTGTGATTTTATTTGTTAAGCAGTGTAAGGATTTTAACTAGATTTTAACATCTTTTTAAAAGATGATTGATATTTCTCAGTACTCTACTCATAGAATACTCTCCTATAACAAAGTAATTAAGTAATAAACTGACACATTGATCATGCCTGATAGACATAATGTTTATCCTCCATCTGGGAAGTTTTAACCTTTTTACTTTGTGCATAGGGATAGCCTATGATTTCACCGGCAAAGGTTTGAACTCCTGACTGAGGAGTTTTTAATTTTTTATTAATATTTATTTATAAACATTATTTTAAATATATAATATAAAATATTTTATAAATATTTATTATTTTACCTATAATATAGGTTAGCACCTTTTCTGTAGCTCAAAACATTAGAGCATTTCCTAGAATGCAGAGAAGTGAGTGACCTGTCCAGGTTCACAGTTCAATATGACCAAGGCTAGACTTGAACCCAGATATTTATGGCTTAGAGGCCAGTTCTCTATTCACTAGCTCACATTATCTACATTTTCACAATACTGATTATAATTTTGAAATCTGGAAGGCATAATGTTCATGCTGTAAACTTTCACATTTCAGGACAATTTTTCATGTAAGAAATCTTAAAACATATTTGACAGCTCAGAAGCTTAACATGAAAAACACCAAGATATGAAAGTACAATAACTAACTGGGACAGGTCCCTAAAATGATCTGATCTTTTCCTCCACTGAGACTGCTTTCTGCTCTGCAGAGGTTTGTAGTTGTGAAAAGCAGAGAATAACTTGGCTTGAACTTTAACAAGACTTATTAGTCAACTAAGACTGAAGAACCAATGTAGATACTCCTTGGGGACATCCACAGGGAGAGAGATTGTGTTGCAATGCAGCAAGAGAGCTTCAGAGGTCATCATATCCAACTCCCTCACTTTATATCTGTGGGGGGAGGTAGGGAAAAAGAGGAGAGGAGGAGGAGAGAGGGAGGGAAGGGGAGAGGGGGAGAGAGAGGAGAGGGGAGAGGGAGAGAGGAAAGCAGGGAAGGGAAAGGGAGGGAGAGGGAGGGAGGGAGAGAGAAGGGGAAAAGAGGGAAGGGGAAGAGGGGGAGGGAGGTAGAAAGAAAGAAAGTGATTAGCTCAGGTCCTCAGACTCCAAATCCACTTTGCAAGAGTACTTAGGCGCAGCTCAACTAGCAAATCTTGTAGGTTATTCTTAATTAATTGTACAAGGCACCAGGGAATATGGGTTAGGCAAAGAGAAATGCATAGAACTTGACCTTGAAGCTGCCTTGTAGGGGCTTGGAGCAAGATTGAATAGAAATAGGTATAAGATATGCATCCACAGGAAAAGTATTAAACTAAATATATGACATAGTGATCTGCAAATTATACTCATCCAATTAATCAGCAAATCTTTATTAAGCACCAGGCACTGTGGAAAGAACTGGGGATGTATAGGCAAAAATGCACCTGTACCTGCCCTCATTGGGACAATTTAGACCAAAAAAAAAAAAAGAAAAAAAAGAAAACGAAAAGAAAAAAAAAAGAATGCAGTATGTATCCCTACTTCTTTTGGTCTGTTAATCCTTAAAGTGCATTCTATCTACTGTGTGATCATTCATTCAACAATTATTTATTGATCTCCTACACTGTGAGGGATACAAACATGACTTAAGACAGGCCCTTTTTTGGAGGTGCTTACAGTCTAATGGGAGATAAGGAATGCAGACAAAAAAGACAGGCATATTGTACTTTGTCCGGTGAAAGTACGAACTAAGGGCTGGTTAGTTAGTTGGTGTGGGGGCTGGGGAGGAGGCGGAGAACTCACCTTGGCCTACCGGGATCAGGAGACCTGTTGGTCTTTTACACGTTTTGGTTTTCAGCTGCGCCCACCCCTCTGAAACTCGGGCCACACTCCTCCCCACGCCCACTCCGCAGAAAAGGAATTGCCACAAAAAATTGTTTCTGGCTCTGCTACGCATGGTCAGTCAGAATTTAAAGAGTGGGTCAGAGAAGTCACTTTGCATAGAGACCATTCCAGGGAGCTGCTTCCAGGAAACTAGTTGAAATATGCAAACTTTTCTCTTCCCTCCAACACCGCCCCCCTCCCCCAAGTTTCAGGCCCTCGGACCAACATGTTAACGTTAATGCATTATTTTAGTCCCAGTGGTAGTGGGGAAAGGGGAAAAAGAAAGTGTTCGTAGTCTAAGCAGGTCTAAGGGTCCCTAGCTGTTGTAAAATACTTCCACGTTACAAACTTGCCTTACCTTTCGGAATAAAACCCGCAGCTCTAGAAATAAAGATCTGCCACTCGTGCTCCTCCTCCCGCACTGCGAGATTGGTGCGCCTAGGCCGTGACGTCGTGGCATGCTGGAAGCTGTGGAGAGGGGAGGGTTGGTTTGCGACAGTGGTTGTGGGTGTTAGCCAGGAAAGCGCGGGTGACGGGGGGGGCAGGGAGGTTGGCTCACTCTACCTGCTGTCTTCTGAACGCGGGCTGAGCAGTCAAAAATCCCACGGCGGCGATGGAATGCTAGCACCTCCAGAGTTCTATTTTCGAACATTTTGTTGCCTTTTCCTTACGGACGCAACGCACCGACAAGACGAAGATACAGCAAAATAGGGACTTTGCCTTGGGCGCTGGGGCTGGCGTGGGGGTGGGGGTGGTTTACCTTCCTTGCCATCGTCCTTACTCTACTCCTCATGTCAGGATGCTCACAGAGAGGATTACCCTGGCGACCGAGTGGAAGAAAATGATCAGGTTTGGGCTCTGGACTCACGGGGTCGAGTTGTGTTGCAGCCCAATTGTGTGTGTTTCCCCTTAAAAGACAAATCAATCTCTGCAGGACTGAAGAAGGGACTGACTCTATTCCTCTTACTTCCCCAGGCCGCTGGTCCCACTGCAGATCTATATCTAAGAAGATCTCATATTGGCTGGCAAACACACCCATTGCTAAAGAAGCTAGGGGAGGGGAAGGGCCGTGGATGCAACAATTGAGAGAAGAATGAAAGTTTATTGGGCGCGGCTGCCGCTTTGATTTAAAATTGCTCAGGTTGAAAGCCCCGCAGAGCTCTGGCTTCCGTGCTTTATGGACGCCTCTCTTACTCCCGCACTCGTTTGGGAATAGAGTGGGAGGGGGAAGGGCACCCTTGCAGCTTTCATAGTAAGGCGGACACAGTTGGATGGTTTTTAGAAAGTGCTCCAGTGCTTACTGTTTTCGAAAGGCTCGAAAGATTTGGAACATCTTCCTGCCCTCCCTCATCCTTTTCTTCTATCTCGACTCCAGAGCCTCAGAGATTTCCTGTGGGACACTGGGATAGCAGGAGAAAGACGACTTGCTAACTTATTCTTGGGGTTCCAGAAAGAAGCCCTTTTGGTGAAGGGTGGGGAGCTACTTACTCCTTCCCACTTTTTGGGGGTAGGGTTTGTGGCGGGAGGGCGGGGCAGGGTTATTGAAAGGGTAGTGCCGTTCAGTAACACTTTCTTCTGAGAATCTGTTGGCCGTATGGTTTTGTTATCTGCAGCAGCATCTCACCATGAAGAAGGAATCTAAAGCTGGAGGAAATGGTCTCCGAACCTGGCATTGAGCGCCCACCTTAACAGCCATTCTCGTTTCCAATCAATAGTTCCCCCGCAATGAGTACCTTAAATAGCCAGCACCATGTATCGTGGAAGTAAAGGCCACTAAAGACGGAGATGACTCTGTTTTGAGAGCCGGTTGGAGTGAACAAACAGCTGCTTTTTTAAGGGACAGAAAAGGGGAATATGGAGGACTTTACCACTAGGACCTATGGCACCAGTGGCCTGGACAACAGACCTCTATTCGGAGAAACTTCGGCAAGGGTGAGCCCCGGGTTTAGTTTTTTGTGTATTTGTATGCCTTAGCTGTCTGTCCTGACATCCGTCTCTGCGGCCTGACTAGGTGCCAGTCGGTTTGTGGGGCTGGAAGGAGTTTCCTCACTTGGGAGTTCCCCAAAGCAATGAAATCCCAGAGTTAGCCTTTTTCTTCTTGTGGGGGGCCGGAGGGATGCAGGCTTCCAAAAAGGCTGGCCTACCATTACTCTGGAGAGTTTCATTTCCACTTCAGGTCTCTGAAAAGAGAACCACTTGGGGAAAAGGTTGGCCAAGATCTTTGAAAATGGGGGAAGGGAAGGAGTTGAGAAAGTTCTCTGTTCTCACCTGCACTTGAGTGGAGAGTAAGTCCATTTACGGAGGCTGGGTAGAGATTTTTCACTTCCTTCTCTACAACTGGGGGGGGGGGGGTGGGGTGGGGTGTCCTTCCTTTTCGGAAAGTACATCAAAGGTTTCTAAACCCAGCTCTCTTTCACCAGGTGTACTTCACACTCGGCGTGGGGGAGGGAGAAAGAAAGCCTACAGAGAAATTTTTCTTTGTTTTTGGTTCCTCTTTCAGTAGAATTAGCTTGAAGGGTACTTTTGGTGGCCTCAGATCTTCTAAAGTACCCTCACTTGTCTAAGTCACCCCCTTCCCCAAGTGTAGTTGGTAATCCAGTAGTTAGTAAAGGAATATTTCCTTAATTTCAGGGTCAACATTGTGGGAATAAGATGAAAGGAGAATTTTGAGGTGACTCATTTGAGGGAGGACTTAGAGAAGATGGTCTGGGAAATAATGTACTGTAGTGGAAAGAGCACCTGCCTTGGAGTCAAACTTCTGTTGCTGTTCCACTTTGCTAGACATATGTGTGATTTTGGGTGTCTTGGGGAAGCAATTCCTTCACCTGTGAGAAGGATGTAATAGGTATATCACTTGAGGAAGTTAATTGTAAGGCAATTGCTTTATCAAATCTAAATAATTAAATGTGCACAAGGGCAGAGTGTGTGTGTGTGTGTGTGTGTGTGTGTGTGTGTGTGAGTGAGTGTGTGAGTGTGAGTGAGTGTACCTGCATGCATGCAGGTATTTGATAGAATGGTCCAACAACTTGAGAGAGAGCTTCTTGTTGCTACCCCTACTACTGAATTGCTGAGTAATTATGGGCAAGTTAACTGGCCTGTTTCCTTTATATTCCTGTTTATCTATAAAGGGGCATTGATGGTCCTTGCCACTAGCAATTGGTTCTAAGGTGCTTTGGAATCTTGCAGAAGGTAGGTGCTATATACAATTTATCACTAGTAAGGTACTTTTTGTATCTAAGTCCTCCACTATGTTTAGGCTTTCAATATACAACTGCACCATGATAGAAAAGATCTAGTCTTCTGACCTACTTTTAGTCTTTTGTCTTATGCTTAAGTCACAAAATATGTGTGGGACCATAGAGAGCTATCAGAAAGAGAACACTTGAAAATACTCAGTTTTCCCTCCCCTTTCCCCCCCCCCCCCACCCCATGTTAGATGGCTTGAAAATGGTCTTGGTGATTTTGGGTTAAACTTCTGGGGAAATAGATTACACTCCTAAATGCAAATCAGTCAGGGAGCATTTATTAAGTACCTACTGTGTGCCAGGTACTGTGCTAAGAACTGAGGGTACAAAGAAAGGTTAAAAAGTCACTGCTCTCAAAGGAGCTCCCAGTCTAATGAGGGAGCCAACATACAACTGTGTGAAAACAAGATATATGCAAGATAAACTGGATAATCAATAGAGTGAAAGCATTAGCACTAAGGGGGAATGGGGAAAGGCTTCTTGTGGAAAGTGGGATTGTAGCTGGGACTTGAAGAAAAACAGGGAGACCAGGGGATGGAGTTCAGGAGAGGGAGCATTCCAAGTGTTCAGGTTCAGTTAGTGAAAATGCCTGGAGGTGGGAGATAGAATTTTTCTTTCTTTCTTTTTTTTTTTTTGGACATCAGTTTTTTTTTAATTGTGTTGCCATTAATATGGCCTATTATTTTCATAGTTTTCCTAATATTGAACACATCCTAAATTCCTGGTATAGATACAATGTAGTTGTAGTACGTAAGAGTTTTAAAATGTTATATTCTCTTTGCTTACATTTTATTTAATAGGAGATGGAATTTTTTTAGGGGGTTAGGCAATGTGGTTAAATGACTTGCCCAGGGTCACACAGTTAGTAAGTATTATGTGTCTGAGGCTGGATTTGAACTCAGGCCCTCCTGAATCCAGGACTGGTGCTCTATCCACTTCACCATCTAGCTGCCACTGAGATGGAATTTCTTGTTCAAGGTATAGCAAGGAGGTCAGTGGCAATGGATTATAGAGCGTGGGAGAGAGGGTAAGAAGACTGGAAAGATAGGAGTTGGGGGGGTGCATCAGGTTAGGGAAGGCTTTGAATAAGGATCTTTGATCCTGGAGCTGATTGAGATCCACTGGAGTTTATTCAGTGAGAGTGCTGGTCAGATACTCGATTTAAGATCACTCTGACAGCTAAGTGGATGATGGACTGGAGTGGGGAAAAAGTTGGTGACACATTGTTTGGAGTGTGTCTGTGAGAGAGTGATTGTTGAACATGACATCCAGGTTGTGAGCCTGGGTGCCTGGGAGGTTGGTCATTATCTAGACAGTGACAGGAAAGTTCAGAAGGGGATAGAGTGTGGAAGAAAGCTATTGAGTTCACTTTTGGACCTGTTGTATTTAAGATGTCCACAGGACATTCAGTTCATGGTGTCTGTCTAGTAGGCAGTTGGAGATGTAAATCTGGAGATTAGGAAAGAATTTAGGGCTGGATGAATAGTATTGGGAATTATGAGCATAGAGATAATTGGATCCACGGCAGCTGATGAGATCACTAAATAAAATAATACATAGGGAGAAGAGGACCCGGACAGAATCTTGGGGGACCCCCATGGTTAGTGGGTATGACTTGGATAAAGATCTCCGCAAAGGAGCCTTAGAAGTTGCTGGTAGGTGGATAACCACAAGAGTAATGTCATGGAAACCTAGAGAAAGGAGAATATTAAGGAGAAGTGGATGATTGAAGATGCTACAGAGAGGTAAAGGAAAATGAGGGTTGAGAAAAGGCCATTTGATTTTGTAATTAGAACATTGGATGTGACTTTGAAGAGAATAGTTTTTGTTGAATGGGGTGAGGGGACAGGAAGTTGAGGCTTAAAAAGAGAATGAGAGGAAAGGAAGTGAAGGCATCTAATGTAGACAGCCTTCTCAAGGCATTTAATCACAAAAGGGAGGAGGGTTACAGAATGAGAGCTAATGAGGAGGGAAGATCAAATTAGGGGTTTTTTGAGAATGAGGGAGGTAAGAGCATGTTTGTAGGTAGTAGGGAAGCAGTCAGTAGATAGGGAGAGATTGAAGATAAGTGAGAGTGGGAATGAGAAAGGGTGATCTGCTGGAGGAGATGGAATGGGATGGGGTCGCTTGGGTGGTCAGAGGTTTGCCTTGTTGAGGAGAAGGGCCCCTTTTCCACATGAGACAGAAGTCAAGAAGGAGATATTGGGACAAGTAATGTGAGATGAGGAAGAAGAGGAGAGAAGGTGGTGGGGATCTGGTGAATGGCCTGAAATTGTCAGTGAAGTATGAAACAAAGTTCTCACCTGAGGTTTGGGAAAAGGGAACCTTGAGAAGTTGATTTGAAAGTCAAATTTTCTATTCAGCTCTGGTCTTTTCATCAAGAATGCTTGAAAGTTCTCTATTTCACTGAATGCCCATTTTTTTCCCCTGAAGGATTATACTCAGTTTTGCTGGGTAGGTGATTCTTGGTTGTAATCCTATCTCCTTTGACCTCTGGAATATTACATTCCAAACCCTAGGGTCCCTTAATGTAGAAGGTGCCAACTCTTGTGTTATCCTGATTGTGTTTCCACAGTATTTGAATTGTTTCTTTCTGGCTGCTTGTAATATTTTCTTCTTGACCTTGGAACTCTGGAATGTGGCTACAATATTCCTAGGAGTTTCCCTTTGGGGATTTCTTTCAGGAGGTGATCGGTGGATTCTTTCCATTTATATTTTGCCCTCTGGTTCTAAAATATCAGGACAGTTTTCCTTGATAATTTCTTGAAAGATGATTTCTCAGCTTTTTTTTTTTTTGGTCATGGCTTTCAGATAGTCCAATAATTTTTAAATTCTCTCTCCTGAATGTATTTTCCAGGTGAGTTGTTTTTCCAATGTGATATTTCACATTGTTTTCTATTTTTTCATTCTTTTGGTTTTGTTTTACAATGTCTTTATTTTTCATAAAGTCACTAGCTTCCATTTGCTCCATTCTAATTTTTAAGGGAGTATTTTCTTTAGTGAGCTTTTGGCCTTCCTTTTCCATTTGGCCAATTCTGCTTTTTAAGGCATTCTTCTCCTCATTGGCTTTTTGGACCTCTTTTGCCATTTGGATTAGGCGTTTTTTAAGGTGTTATTTTCTTCAGTATTTTTTCAGGTCTCCTTTAGCAAGCTGTTGACTTGTTTTTCATAATTTTTTTGCATCACTCTCATTTCTCTTCCCAGTTTTTCCTCTATTTCTCTTACTTGCTTCTCAAATCCTTTTTGAGCTCTTCCAAGTCCTGGGACCGATTCATATTTTTCTTGGAGGCTTTGGATGTAGGAGCTTTGACTTTGTTGTCTTCTTCTGGTTGTATGTTTTGATTTTCTTTGTCACCAAAGATTCTGTGGTCTTACTTTTTTTGTACAATTTGCTTATGATCCCAGCCAATTACTTGAGTTATAAACTCTTTGTTAAGGTAAAGGTCTATTGCCAGTGTGGAGAATGTACTGTCCCAGGCTTCAGGGGTTTTGTGCAGTTGTTTTCAGAGTTACTTCTAGGGACCTGTAAATTTTCAGTTCTTCCAAAGTGGTACTATCAAGAGTGAGATGTTTACTCCTTTCCTGGCCTGGGCTCTGGTCTATGAGTGACCACAAGAGCTCTCTTCTGCCTTGGAACTGTGAGGAAGATTCCCTCTCCACTGCCACTACAAGCTCCACCATGCCAGG